ATTACTCCTTTCACTTCCTTCCAAGATGCATCAAATTATTGGTTTTTATGATTTTCTCTTTCATATTTCAAGGAAATAATAACCAGAAGGCCTCAGAAAATTTGGCTTAGAAAGGTTTTAGAGAAAATGACTTTGAGTTTGGGAGGTTTTCAATGTATTTATTCTAAGGGAATTCAGACAGGGACTTCAAAAAAAAAGTTGACTTAGGGAGAAATTTGACTTAGGTGGGAGGTTTGACTTTTTGAGGTTCACCTGTATAAACAATTTATTCAGACATTTATTTAGGTTTAATCACCTAAATATTGAATTTTCTTAAGGATTGGTTAACTTTCTGGAAACATTGTAAACAAATCAAATTGATAAGCATGGCTTACAATCAGTCCACAAAAAAAACAATGAAATGCAAACGTCAATTTTAAAAAAAATTTAAGAGGGAACACAAGGGCTTGCTGATCAAACCGATTGCATTTCTCACATCATTCAAAACACAAAACACAAAATATCTATATACACATCAAAGACCAGCTGATACGTCTTAGCAGCTGGCTTGAATGTAGAATGCAGCATATTTACCCCCAGGGGGTTCGAATGCTAGAATTTTCACAAGCTGGTAAAGTATATGGTGCACAACACTGGATTAAATATGCACACGTGCACTGACCATATTTGAGTCAGTTTAAATATGCGTCGTTTGCCGTTTCGTTTTAGCAGCAGGTGACGGGTTCAGGTGGGCAGCAAGGGTTACCTCCTGGGCAACAGCAAGGTTTTTCTTTCTCTGCTTTAGTAGTACCCTCCTCACTTTCTTCAGACTCTTCAACCATGGTTCCCATCGTTAAAGTCATTTCATGATTCATCTCAGTTCCTGTTGATGATAAAAAATAATTATGATCATCATCAAGAAAAAAAATTAGTTTTGTCTACCTCTTGAATGGCAACACTACAAAAATGTAGATGGCAAACTCACAAGACACTGCTTCTTATTAATTACACACATTTACTGTGCTTCACAATTTTTAGCACTAATTAGGATACAAATCAAGGTGCAAGTGACGGTAAGGAATACATTCCTGAAAATATTTGAAGAAATATCCTGAAAATCATAAGTGAGTCACTTATTGGGGGAAAATGTGAATGTTTATCCATTTTTCGGGGATAAATTCATTTAAAAAATTGAAAGCGATGGAAGATAAAGAAAAGAATAATTGAATTATTTAAATTCAATTTGAGCTCAATTCAGGACAAAATTAAATTTTTCATTTCGTAATTTATCTGCGATATTAATTTTTTTGAAGAGTTCTGGTGGTGGATGCACGTTTTTTAGCTGCTCGGGATACTTTTTTTTAAATGTTGGATACATAATGTAAACTTTTAAATGTTTGCATTTGAAAGCTAATAAAAGGTAAGAAAAATATTACGTAGAAATGATGTCCCGTTAGTTTTGCTGTGTCTTTAAACAAATTTCAATTGTGAAAGTATATTGTTAAATCCACGTACACTCACGCCTTGATAAATGTTTCAGTGTTTCACGTTTCAATTTTATCCAGAGTAATTTTCTGTCGGTACTACTTTTTTTCCCCCAGCAGGTCTCCACTTACAATAGTTGCAATTTCATTTTGAGTTGTGATCTGCTTGCTGGAATAAATTCATTTTTCTCTACATTTCCATATATAGACGACGCTGTTATAAATGAATTCTGGTGATTTGTTTTAAACTATAAAGAGGCTTCCGGATGCGGGGCTGATGAAATCATGCAGCAGCAAATGCCGGAGTCAATAAGACAATCACAAGAATGAGACTCGATTGCTGATTCTAAGACTCACCCGCCTCCATCATCCTGGGCACCACTTCAAACATGTCAGTGGCGACAATGTTGGTGAAGGTGAGAGGTCCCATGGCGATGCCCGAGCCAGTTGAACCCAAGCCGTTGCCAGAGACGGTGGTGGACGCCTTCTTGCCCATGTCCGGAACCATTTGCATCATCATGCCACCACCACCGTCGTCTGGTTTAGCAGTCGACATCATGTTCATCATGGCGGCGTTCATCATCATCATGTTCATTGATGGGGCTTTGGACTTGCTTCGTGATGTCGAACGTCGCCGCGCAGTCGTGGTTGCAGCTTTGCCTGCCATAGTTTCCATCGTCAACATCATCATCGTTCCGTCACCCATTCCGTCAGTCATTCCGTCAGTCATTCCGTCAGTCATTCCGTCAGTCATTCCGTCACCCATTCCGTCAGTCATTCCGTCAGTCATTCCGCCACCCATTCCGTCACCCATTCCGCCAGCCATTCCGTCACCCATTCCGTCAGCCATTCCGTCACCCATTCCGCCACCCATTCCGTCACCCATTCCGTCACCCATTCCGTCACCCATTGCAGCCTCTGCTCCATCCGCCGGCATTTCGCCTTCCCCCACCATGGCAGGATCTGCTGGTGCAGCAGCCTCGCCAGCTGGTTCTTCTTGAGCATTGACGTGCCTTCCTGAAATTAGCAGCACCAGCATGGTCGCTGCCAATATGTGAAGCAATCTGCTCATCGCCATATTGTGCCTGAAAAACAACCTGATCCCCAATCCTGTGAAGGAGGAAATACCGACATTGTATTGTATGAAATCAAAAACATATACTGTTGGGGACCAAGCAGTCTATGCTAAATTATTATCGAAATATAATTCTTTGGGGCATCCCAAGAACCGGCAAAGGGCTCCAAAGGCATTGAAAACAAGTATGATATATGATGCTGCACATTATCCACAATTTATAGCTGTAAAACTGGCAACTGGCTGAAAACTATAAATCAATAGCTCATTCCAATTATTCTAAACTGTATATGAAACAGAACCAATCCTCTGAAAGCTTATGTAAATTATTTCATTTTGTGAGTTTATATCTGTATGCTGTTGATGTTGAGTTTTTTATTCTTTCGCGCCAAAACGAAATCTCAACTTTTTGGAATAGCCAGGCTCAGGCTGATTAATGCGGTGTATCATTTTTCAAAATTTTATTTATTTGAGTTGGGAATGTTTTAAGTTGGGGAGGTTTCAGTTTGAGGAATTGAAAATTTTTGTCAAAAAAATGGAAAAATTGCAGGAATTTGTAATTGGTGATATACTGGGCCTTGAATTGCTTCTTAAATGAGTGAAAATGTAGTTGTTGAAATTGGAGGCAAAGGTTTGCCAAATTATATTCTCTCATTTCCTGTTCAAAATAATTTGTTCCTTGTTATTGTTTTTCTTTTTCCTGTGTCAAGGAAATAATTGCCAAAAGGACTCAAAAGATTTGGTTTATTGAGGTTCAAGAGGTAATTCCTTTGAATTAAACAAATTTCTAACGCATTGCTTTAAGGAAATTCAGACAGGGTATAAAAAAATAGATTTGAGGCATTCAACTGGATGAGATTCAAGTTATCAAGGGCTCAAAAAATGATGGCAAGTCATTTTTCATGCACGTATTTTCTTTGAATACATATGTAGAAAATACTTTTTTGTAAACTAAAATGTGCTGAATGGGGATCAAGGGTGTGAAAATGTTGTGGACCTTTTGAATGCTGACAATTGGCAAGTGAACCTTGTATATCAATCAATCAATTGTGAACAGAATAATTAATCACCCAATGCAAATGAAAGCATATATGTTTCCCAGCCAACTGACTAACTAAAAATTCTAAATGAATAATATGGAGTAACAACTGAGAGGACTTACAGCTTGAAAGAATGCTGTATGTAAATGTTCTATGGATTATGCCCAACAAAAGCCAGTCAACCCAATGAAACTCACTGTTCAAAATCTCTCTTGGTAACTTGTGAATGTACTTTTACTTTTCAGTCAGATTTAGGAGGCTTTTATATACCAAGGCAAAATTTTGTTTTCTTTCACCCATTGGGCAGCAACAGGAAATATGGAAAAATATTTTATTGCAAATTAAATGTTTTAATCTAGTAGCTTGTGGCATTTCTAGCAACAGGAAATGGCATCCTGAATATGGAGAAACTAGATTAAGTAAAAAAAACAATATCACATAGATCACTCCTGGACTGCAATAAATAAACAAACAAACGATTGACTCGATTTCCTGCGGTTTTCATTTCCTATGCCTTATTCGCCAAATGTATAGCTAACATAATTAAGAAGCTGGATAATTAAGAGACCAATCAATTCAACTTTGGCATGCGGAATAATTGATTTCTCATATTCATTGTCAGGCTTTTTCCAAGTCCATCAAAGCATTCAATTCACCTCGAAAATGTGAAAATTTCCTACCATTTTCAGGGCATTGAATTGCAATAAGAAAGTATAATGAGCTTAACCCACGGAATTCAAATCACGTGTTCTGTCCATTTTTAGCACAACCCAAAATTCAACTATAAAGGGTGAATCGAATCCACGAACAAAACCAAATCACAAAGACTGCTTGAAAAAGTCTGCAAATTTAACCCGATTCTTAAATGTATACGTGTGATGTTTTGAATTTTGGAATATTTTCAGAATATTAGGTCAATTCAATTTCACTTGCATTATTTGAAAATATTCTGGGAGTCATATAATATAACATTGAGTTTCCGGAGATCGAAGAAGTCGTCTGTTCTGAGGCAATTATTAAAGCCTATACATTTGTTCGTGAAATGGTGCGTTAATTATTTATTCTTTGAAAAGGTTTAGTCTTCAACACATGAAAACATTCCCTCAGCATCACGAAATGCCTCAAATAGTTCATCAAATAAATACCCCACTTCATGGGCCAAAAAAAGAGCAGTAGTAAAATTTTTATAATTTATTTCTAAATTTTCTGATCATTCAAGAAAAACGGCAATAGAAATATTTTTATTTACTTAATTCGCATGAAAAATGCAAAAGTGAATTCAACCAATCATAACTCAACGAGAGTGTACAATGGAAAACACAGGAAATTACATGGTTTATTGCATTTTTTATTTGCGAAATGACTGATTAATATTTTGTTTTGACTGGAAAAGCGTGATTGAATCTGTAGCTCCTCTTTGATCAAGAAGCAATTTCCTGTTGCTAGACCTACTATCTCTAACATTGGTTTTTACATTTTTCAATTCGTGTTATTCAAATTTCCTGCCAGCAGAAGGCTGGGATAAACAAAAGCCAGCCTGTATATAAAGGCTACCTTTAGTCGGGCATAAAAAATAGTGTATTGAGATCCTGCCCTCAAAGGTATAAAACAGTAGAACGTTGTTCTAAAAGTACCACAAATTTCTGGTTCACCTTGGACTAAATTTCTGCAAATCTTTAAACTTAGTCTCATTTTTTGATCTTACAAGGTTTGTACTGTATTCAAGTTTGAAATGTTTGATCGGATTTTTTTTGCCCTTAGATTGTGAACTTGCTGGTTTGTATCATTTTATTCCATTTATTCTCTCTCTCTCTCTCTCTCTCTCTCTCTCTCTGACTCTCTCTTTCTCTCTGTCTGACTCTCTCTCTCTCTCTCTCTCTCTCTCTCTCTCTCTCTCTCTCTCGATTTGAAGCAGGTTGAGTAGTCTCAAGATGGCGGATTGGCTTTTTTCGATGACGGCGGCCATGCTGGTGCTCCTTGTTGCAGAAAGTCTCAAAACGGACCTGATTTGTCTTGTGTTGTGTTCTTTGAATGTCTGAATTCCACACCCTGTTGTTTCTGAATGCGTCGGAAGTTTATTGGATTAAATAAATAAAACTGCTGACTTTTTTCTGTAATAAAAGAAAGAAAAAAATTGGAATGTTTTATGCGTTGAATATTCGTCAAATATTTGGCTGTACAAGTACAGAACTTTATTTACAGTACTGAGATGCTGCTCCATTATTCCGTTCAAAGAAAGCGAAAGAAAATATTTCAATTTATGATTCACTGAGGAAATCACCGACAGTAACAAACTAATACCTCGGATTCTGTTCCGCGTAATGCATTGAAAAATTTTCATTGTCCAGAATTGATGAGGAAAAACCTGGAATGATTTATAAAATCTCTCGTCAAGAATTCCGAAGCATCATTTCCAAATTTGACCATGAAATATTGCAGTATTTTACGGCAATGAACCGTCTTCGTTGAATTCTTGTTCGTCGCAAGAATTTCACAAAATTACTGATTTATTCTGAAAGTTAATTGCCAAGATGTGTATATAATAAGTTTATAGTTAATTCAAAGTCTTGCAATCAACCGAGAGTCTTTTGCGTCGCAGATAGACGATGCGGGAAATGAAAATCGCTGGTACATACATTTTCTTGAAGATGAAAAGCAATTTTGCGTTTGGAAACGAAGAAGCCTGATTGAATCTAGCTTCTCCTCGATCAGAATGCCATTTCCTGCGACTGCTGCTGCAATATCGTAGTCTGAAATGTCTCTAGATTAAAGAATGCAATTCCTCTAGAAATTAATTTCCTGTCTCAGTATATAGAGACAAGAAATGACCTATAAAAAGCCTCCAGGAGTCTGAGAAAGAACTAATTACACCGAGATTCTCAAGTTGAAAAATTATTCAACTTCCAGAAAGTGACTGACTCACATTTGTTAGAATTCTACAAGCCTGAGAAGATCATGTGAGTTGCATGTTTTTTTTGTAGTTGATCTTGGCCATTTTATTCATCAGGAAAGGGTCTTTATTTACCAGAGGTTCAACTAATGTTCTTTTGGGATAAAAATTAAAACTGAAAAAAAAAATTGAGCTGGCAAACAGTTTAAAAAGTCAACCCTGTTTTACATATTTATTGATTGATTATACAAAATAATTCAATAAATTGAAAGGAAGTACATCAACGTACTGTATATTCAAATGCATGAGTAGTGAATTGCCATCTTTTTTTTTGACAAGAATCTTGTCAGCAAAAAAAAAAAAAAAACTGCAAGCACAATGCACATCCTTTGCAGAAAAGTTTCGCAAATGTTACCCTGGTAGCTTTTTTCTCTTCTTTATTCAAGTTATAAGCACACCACACCATCCATCACATATTTCTTCTGACCTTTGCAATCCCCCCCCCCCACCCCCTCATTGGCCCCATGATATGTCAAACTGGGCTACTTTTTTCTATGCAATATTAGTTTTTCAGCTGAATTGCATGCCATTTCAATTTCTGTTCTGAAAACTTCTGTCAGAATCCTGGTATTGATTATATTTTGTTGTTGTGACTTTTGGGTTCTGTTGCTGCAGATGTGCCACTCCCTATGGTTTTAACCTTCGGATGTTAGAGGGTTCTTTTTCATTTTGCAGCAGAGTTGGGATTTTTGGGTGGGGGGGGGGGGGGGGGGGGGCATTTCAGTTTTTCTCAAGGTCACTGAAAGGGTCCTCAGAGTTGGGATTTTTTGGGTGGGGGGGGGGGGGCAGGGCATTTCAGTTTGTCTCAAGGTCACTGAAATGGTCCCATAGGTTGAAAAAGCCTGGAGGAAAATTTTTGCTTGTTTTCAGAATTCACCCATGCAAATCCTTAGCCAGTAATGAAGGAAAAACACCAAACAGTGAGGGAATTTTTTATTTATTTTTCAATCAAAATTTTCTGCAGGATTTAGATAAATATTCAACTTTTTTTAACTTAGTTATGGGCATTGGTACAAAAGTAGGATTTTTAAAGTTTCCAGTGGTGAGTGGCAAAACATTTTGCAATAATATCCTGAATTGGCTGGACAAGGGTCCATTGATTGCATACACTTGTTTCTCTTACATGATTCACCCAAAGCCGATAAAATTGACAAGATGGCACATAAGTTGGTCTGGGTGACAGCTGCTGTATCATTGGTGCTGCTCATGGCAGCAAGGCAAGTGAGAACACAGGATGCAGGTCCTGGAGGGGCTGGTGAAGGAGCAGGAGGGGCTGGTGAAGGAGCAGGAGGGGCTGGTGAAGGAGCTGGCATGGGAGGCATGGGAGGCATGGGAGACATGGGCATGGGCATGGGAGGCATGGGAGACATGGGCATGGGCATGGGAGACATGGACATGGGCATGGGAGACATGGGCATGGGCATGGGAGACATGAACATGACCATGGAAGACATGAACATGACAGATATGAAGGATACCATGATGTCCAGCACAACAATGATGCCCAGCACAACAATGATGATGATGATGTCCGAGATGACCATGATGGGAGGCATGGCATCCGCTGCTGGAATGACAAAGGACATGATGGGTGGCATGGCATCCGCTGCTGGAATGACACAGGACATGATGGGTGGCATGACGGGTGGCATGATGGGTGGCACGATGGGTGGCACGATGGGTGGCACGATGGGTGGGATGAAGGGTGGCATGAAGGGTGGCATGATGGGTGGCATGATGGGTGGCATGAAGGCGAGTGACATGATGGGAAAGGCGGGCGAAGGCGGGGACATGATGGGGATGATGGGAGGAGCCGGAGACATGATGGGCATGCCCATGGGCATGCTGCCAGACATGATGGGCGCCAACGACAAAAACACTATGGCCATGGACGAGGACATCACCTTCTACACCATCGTCATGGACAGGCTCACTCTGCCTGAGGGGGGTCTCATGGGTAAGTGCCAATAATGGCGTCCGCATCTGCCTAGCATCTACTACTGCATATGTTTTGTTTAGCAGAAATATTTAAAATCCCGAAACACTGCTGGTAGCATATACAGTATTTGCATTCCATTCCTTTTCCTGACAATAAAATGCACCAGATATGCAACAAATCATTCAACACTTGCATGGCAGAGGGTTCCTTTCCATTGCACAGCAGAGTTGGGACTTTTTTGGGGGGTGGTCAATTTCTGCTGGCTGACCCAAGGTCACTGAAATGCTTCCAGGTTGAGAAGGCCTACATTGGGAAAATCCAAGAGGCAACATTTCTAATGTTTTCTGGAATCCTCCACACTAATCATATGCAAGGAATTTTTGAAAATAACGCCATAATTATTTATTATTATTATTACTCTTTTATCATGTTCAGCAGGATTAGAAAAAAAAATATCAGACTTTTTCCCAACTTAGGCCTTGAAACAATAGCAGGATTTCTAAATTTCCAGTACTCAGTCGCACAAAATGTTGCAAAAATATCCTGACTTTGCCGCACAAGGGTTAAAGAATATAGCTGGGATGCAAATGTGATCCGTGCTCAGGCGTAATTCATATTTTGGAGCATAAGTATTTCATAACTATGGTTTCTCATGGACTTCAATGGGAACACATTCAACTGGTTCTCCTGTCCATCAAAAATTACCAATAAAGTCCCCAAAATTGAAAAAAGAAATTTAACTTATTCAAGGTACAGAAAATTACTGAGCATAATAAAGAAACCACTCAAAATCAATCTGATTGTTTAAAAAAAATCAAGTAATAACCTCAAGGCCTCCTTGGGAAACATAAATTTTGTAGGCCTGAGGGGGAGAATTTTTCCAGTTAAGATACCTGGACTGCAGCATTTCAAAAGTAACTTAGCCAGGTTAAATAATAAATTCATTATAGTGGTGAAGTGTTGAAGGTGAAAACTTACATGCGCATTATCTTGGTTATAATTTGTGTATACAAGTAATTGAGGGCTTATGTGGTGGTTTTTTTTCTTTCAAAAATGAACCATTTGAGTAATAAACATGGATTACTAAAACTGGTATCTTTCCTAGAAACAATGCATTTTATAGAGAATATCATTTATTCCCAGGAGTTGGAGGCAACATGCTGGGATTGGAAGGTTTGACAGGAACGGATGACATGAACGCTGACGAATCCGATGAAAGTGACAACGAAACCACATCTTCTACCACAGAAAAACCTTGCTGCTGTTCTAAACCAGATGCATGTTGCCCACCCAAAGCTGTCACCTGTTGCTGAACGAGCATATCTTACCTTACTCTTTCATGGCAAATATACATATGAGCCCATGTTATAGCACGCATATATGCAAATATTTTCAAATGAGCAGAAAAATCTTGTTAAAACATACCCACTGCAGGGACGAAGGTAAAGGAGTTCTCAGCAAAAACAAATTGTCAAGAAAGATAAATAACATGGCCGCCCTGGATGAAAAAAAAAAAGGAAACCTAATTGTAACCCTGAGGTAGGGGGATTTCTTGTGACCAGATTCTGCTGTATGTACACATTTTATTGCACATTTTTGAATGGATTATTACGCATATTCATGTATCTTTTTGCACAAATACAGTGAAACCTGGTTCACAAGAATCACATCACAGCACAGCCATCTAGAATCAAAAATAACCTGTGTTGTAGAAATTAATTCCTGAAATATGATGTTTTCTAACAAGGTTCTATTGCATACATATACTGTAGCAGTGTAGCACACATAAACATATTTGCACATTGAATTCTATGTTATGCATTTTACTCCTGTGTTGGCTACTAAGAGATACATCAGAACTTACATTTATTGTGTGAAAAGAAATGCAATTGGTGTGAAAACCAGCTTTGTTTTTGTGCTTTGATTTTTTTGCATGGATACTGTTGAGGCGCAAAGCTGAAGCAAAAAAAAAAAAATTTACAGTGGCTTGGCATAATATTTCATTCCCTTTTTTGGAGGAAAAATCCTGGAGGAAAGTGCTTATATGAATTTGCAATAACGCTAGGAAAGGTGTCACTCCTCTTGACTATTTGGAAGAAAGCAGTAATACCGTATTTACTTGAGTACCACGTGCCCTCAAGTAAGGCATGCACAGGGTTTTTTCAGTTGGAAATTTTGCTAAAATCCTATCCCTGAGTATGACTCACATCCCCAATTTTTAGTAAATCTAAAACCACAAAATTTCAAAAATAGAAACAAGAAGTTTGACTTTAGACATGAATTTACCAAAAATCTGACCAATTTTAAACTTTTTCAGTACAAAAGTTTTCCTGTCACTTTTTTTCCAAATTTCTCCATTATGATTAAGTATAATGCACATATAACTTTCTAAAACTTCTTGAAAAATGTGTACCCGTGTATGATGCGCACCCCTTTTGTTCTTCTGAAATTTGAGAAAAAAGGTGTGTGTGGTACAGCTGGTACTCAAGTAAATACAGCAGATTGATGATTTCCATTTGGTAAAAATACTACCTTCTTTCCTTTATTCTCAGCTTTTTTTTTAGCATCAAAAGTTCACATATTTCCTTCACCTTACTTCCAATGGCAGAGACAGTGCTTTTGATATGTTCATGGATTATTGGAACTGGCTGTTGTGAATTGAAATAAACCAGATTATTCCGTTCTTTCATATGTACTGTACATCCAGATTTTATTGTGAAAAACATAAGGTCATTTGATCAATTGAACCATCAAATAAGATATCGCTGACAAAAAAATCGAAAAAAAAATAATGCGACCAGGAATGACACGGTTCTGGAGGACGTCAGTTTGTTCAAAATAAGAGAAATGCGGGTTTGAGTGAACAAGAAAGCGCAAAAATGAAGAAATATAAAAAAATATGGGCCCAAGTTGAAGAGCTTGAAATTTTGCATGCATCAAGGAGTTCGGCAGCATGAATACCGCCTATTCCTTCCGCATTAATTCTGCAAAAAAAGAAAAAGAAAGCGGATTACAGTAATTGTTGTGCATACATTCATACACAGAAAGTTCAAAAATGTTTTAGCACGTTTTAGATGGTTAATGAAAATGCTTCATAAAATGTTTTCATTAGGAAACTATTCTCAATTAAGAAGCCAGATTTGCTATTGGACTCCAGCTTTATTTGCTTAAAAATTAAAAATTGGTAAATTTCTTTAATTCGTCATAAGAAACAATTAATATAAATTGTTAGAGATGATACTGAGCAGGAATGAAATTTGCCTGAATGAGAAGTTGATATAACTAATGAATTTTCCCCCATCAAAACCTTGATTCATTCATTTTTACTGCGAAACTTTTTGAATAATCCGCAAGCATCTAATGTTCATTTTAAAATGTTCATAGTACAGTATTTACATTTTTTGCTGCGTGCATTCAGTGATTTGGATGAAAGTGCATTTGGCATTGAAAGTACAGACACAAATAATTGAAAGCTATTCAGTCACTTCCAAACTCATCAGTGAACTTCTTTGACACTGCAACCTTGAAAAAAATCTATAAAAAATTTTCTAAAGCAATCATACAGTAAATATTTTTACATTTGTTTAATAAACATTAAGCCCAAATAAAAATACACCATAACCCATCTTCATGTTTTTCAAACTATACCTTCTGCTTCTTCTTGATGTATACTGCCAGCAGTGGGGGTATTGTTACACTGAAACAGAGGCAAGAAAAATTAAGCAATCAATATGAAACTCCTACAACATACCACACAATTGTAAAACCTTCAAAACACGTATAACAAAACGCTCATATAGGCTGTGTGAGAAAATCCAGAGAAAGACAAATACCAAAATGTTGATTTTTTGCATTGTGAAACACAGAATGGAATTAGGAACCAGTATTGATAAATAGTTCCTGACCTAGGCATTGCATTTATAGGTCTGAATCCTCTGACAGTCTCATTGTAATCTCCAATAATAGACTAATTTTCAATCATTTTCATTGGGTATAAGTAGATCAGCCAATCAAAGGTGCATGGGATAATATTGTCAGGCCCAACCTTGTCAGACTGGAATAATCTTGTCACAAATTGTCATCTGGAATAACCTTGCCTCTAATTACCTAAGATGTTGGGACTTCGAGGCTTTTTTGGCTGTATGAGGTTTGTCCAGTTCTGAAGTGTGGAAAGATTTTTTCACAAGTTTGTTCCAAGAGAGGCTTCATAATAACTGGGTATTGGAATGACAATAATATTCAACCATCCACTAATCAGGTAAGAAATCTCACTTGTGCTAAGGTACTTATAATGTTGCAGTCTTCAGGTGCAGAATGGGTCTTTTTTCCCCCTTTTGAAAATTAACATTCCAAGACTCTTTCAACCCTTTGCAGCTCATTGAAATTGTGAAATGGCAAGATCTCCTATCTAACCAAGCCAAAATTGAGGAAAGTACAGTTTGTGACAGAAGAAAATTCCAAAATCTGTTACAAGTTTCCCATGAGACAATAAATATCTTTTCTTCCGTATTCTAGGACAGTGTTCCCCAACCTGGTGAACCGGCGTATGTCCATGGACATACGCCGGTCTGCAGCAGAAGTTTTTTGCAGGTCCACAGGAAATTTTCAGCATACTGTAATATATTTATTAAAAGTTGCAATGAACTATCATGATCTAAAACTTTGGATTGACAATTAATGGCGTTTTAAATTATTCAATGAAATTAACAGAAAAGTTGACTTTTCTCCTAATAACACAACTTCAGACACATTTTTACCACCTGAAATATAACATTTTCATTTTTCATTCCAAGAAACCTTTCTTCAAGCCCACCTTTCTAAGATTTTGATGACATGCAGTTATAGCTGCTTTGTAGATGCTTAACTCAATTTTTTCAAGAAGCATAAACTTTCATATACCTGCCATGAAGTCTTTCAAGCAAAACTTTTTAAAGTCTGTAAACATTTCATGAAACTTTGCCGGTCTGCAGACCATTTTTTTGGGAATTTTCTGGTCTGCAAAACAATGTCATGGAAATTCACTGGTCTACGGGCCCAAAAAGGTTGGGGAACACAGCTGTTTCAGTTGATCTAAATAAAATAAAGTTAATACAGATAATAATGTCAGAGGAACCGTTATGAAGTTGATTTCAGCCCATTCTGATGATCAGAAAAATATAGCTAAAAAAGTCGCGAAAATGTAAAAAAAGACATGTTTTCTCATTTTTATTTTATTTATTTTTTAATATTGATTCCTCTTGAACTTTAGGACTGATGAATTATGTTGATGACTTGCCATCGGGCAGGATTTGGCGAGTGGTGCCGTAGGCGGTCATTCCGCGCTGACTGGCGCCAGAATTGCTGCCATATTGGAGCCCGATGATTTTGCTGCTGGCGGCGAGTTGTTCACGCGTGAAATTCCGACGGTTCTCATCCGACACCTTCACCCCAATCACGGGGCCATCAAAGCCAAATTTTTGCGCCTGATGACGAGGGAGGAAAAAGAAAAAGAGAAAATTAAGTTGATGCTGTTTACTCGATTCCGGGTCTTTTTTTTTGTCGTTTTTACATTCGTGTACAAGGTTTTCTCCTTTTTTTGTTGTTGTTCATCTGTTCAAATTGGTTTTGGCAGCCTTGAGACATTTTTACTCGAGACGTGGACTTTATGAGTCAGGAATTCAGATATATATTGATTTTTTTCTGCAATGTCCTCGGAATTCACTGGAATTTATTGTTTCATCAGAATGGAACTACGAATGGGACTCGAAAAAACAAAGACACAGACAAAACTGCCAGAGGATAATAAGACAGAAGACAGGTGAAGGACAGGAAATACGATTTTGAGGCCTTCCATTTTGAATGTAGCCCTGAGGGGTTATCTCATTCCAAGCACATTTCAAAATTTTGAAAAGAAAAAATCGCCTATCAAGTAAAGGCAGTTTTTTATTTCCGAAATTATCAGCATGAAATCAGCAATGTTCATCAACTCACCAAACCTCCCAGGGCAAAAATGCAGTCCACAACCTGAAAAAGAAAAGAATTGGGAAAAAAATAGCATGAAATATGATCTCTTTCGAGAAAATCCGCTTTTGTCGACACAATTATTGCAAGAAAACTGTCTATAAATTTATTTACCGGTAGTTTGCTCCATAAATAAAAAATGAATGAATAAAAAAACGAAATGTATAAACAGTATTTTCAGTTACCAACTGCAATTGAACAAGACTTGATTTTTGTTGCAAATTTCAGAAGAAGTATATTTTTAAACTCGGAAATTCAGGACCAACAAGTCCGTTTTTCTGAAAAATAGCGAGACCTTGATTTCAGTAAAAAAAATGCTCAGCAGGAAATAAATGGAGGATCAAAGTACAGTACTGCAATTTTGAGGAACAATTAAAAATGATAACTATTATTATTGCATTATACAAGGAACACAGATTTACCCCATAGAACGAAAACTTCGCAGCATCAGGAATTTTTTATGCGTAACAGCTCTTGCGCAATCGTCTCTCCAGCTTTGCTTTGTATATATTTCATGGGGTTTTTTTTTTGTGCCTCTCTTTCTGTCTGTCTGTGTCTCTCTATATATATTGTATATAGTCTGTCTACACAGAACCCGAGGTCACAAAAAACTTGCACCTCGTCCTATAGGAAAGGGAAACTGAGCTGGCTCTCACCATGTACAAGTTTCTGTGCTCATAGAGATCGTTGACCTGGAACAGGTCCTGGTTCTTCAGTCCATAGGCCACGCAGCCCTTCAAAAACATCTCCAGGTTTTCGCGCATCATGAAAGGCGTCTTGTTCCGGTTCACCTTCTTCACGGCACCCGGATGCAATTTGTTGATCAGGCTGGTGCAAAAAAAAATGAAATGATGTGACCAATATAATCAAGTATACTGTTGTATAGAGTTGAACCTTTCTAAGTCAAGTTTCAAGGAACCAGCAAAAAAATGACTTAGGGATCAAGGTTTTGAGTCAAAGTACTCATACAAGTTTTTTTAACAGAACCCAGAATATTTGGTAATGAGAAATATAAAAGAATCCCTTTAAATCATAAATGTTGTTTTAAGCCTTTCCTAGATGAGTTGATCAGATGCTGAACTTGGATGCAAGGATTTGTCATTCACACTTACTTTCAAAACACAGCAAGTTTCCCTTTATTTTATTGCTTTTCTCTTTCCCCTGTCAAGAAAATAGAGATCAAAAGGCCTCAGAAAATTCAACTTATGACAGCACAAGAAGAGAAGACTTTGAGTTAGGGAGGTTTTCAAAGCATTGGTTCTAAAGGAATTCAGAGGGTGACTTGAAAAAGTTTGACTTATGAAAGTATTTGACTTGGGGGGGGGGGGTGGTTCAACTTACCAAGGTTCAACTGTACAAATATTGTCATTTGGCATGGCTATTGTTCGAGAAATCTGGGTTCCCAACTGGTGGTACTCCGCAATTCAACTTTAATCCATTGCTGGGCTATGGTCAACTTTCAAAATGGTCAAATTATGAGATAAAGTGTTAAATTAAGTAAAAGCAGCAGAAAAAACACTAGAAAAGTGGTTGAACCTGGTTGAATTGCATGGCAGAGGATGAATTGCAAGTCAACCTCCCAGCAAATTTGACCATTGAATTTCATGATAGACAAATTGTGGGAGGTCAAATTGTGAGGTACCATTTGTAGCAGAGTGTGGTTCATGCTCTGATGCTATTTCAGATGCACAGAATAAAAAAGGGCAATCATTTGATATAAATCCTTCATAATTATTGAAATCTTATGCCAAAGCCCCTGAACATATCTCAGCGGGCAAATTCAGGTCCATTTTAGCAATTGCTTGCATTTCAGAGACACTGGATCAATTAATAAACATTTTCATCAAGACTAATTACAGGTGAACCTTGATAAGTCAAACCTCTGTAAGTCAAATTCCTCCCTAAGTCAATTTTTTTTTTCAAGTCCCTATCCAAATTACCTTAAATCCAATGCATTAAAAACCTCCCTAACTCAAATTCTTTTTTTCTAAAACGTCTATAAGTCGAATTTTCTGAGGCCTTCTAGTTATTATTTCTGTGAAATATGAGAGAGAAAATGATTAAAACAAATAATTTGATGCATCTTGGAAGGAATTGAAGGACAAATATAGCAAATTAACCCATGCATCCAAGTTAAGCATAGTAAAATTTCACCAAAAGGCAAGTTTAGGCACAGAATTTCTTCATTTACAATTTCCTGCAACTTTTTTTTACTAATCCTCACAGCAAGAATTATATTTTCCTTAATTCAAAACCTGCAAAAATCAAAACCTCCCTAAGTGGAATTTTTTTCCTGGTCCTCAGAAACTCAACTTATAGAGGTTCAACTACCTCAGGAGTAGGGACCTGGTCATAGTGTCCATGTCAAACCTTGCAGTTACAATCGAAATCACTATTTTCCGACTAGATCAATTCATGATTCTTCTTTCCTCAAGGAAGAAATTTTTGAAATAAAAGGTTGATACAGCACTGTATCCACTTATGTACCAGATTCAGACAAAGCACTATTTTTTCAGATGCATTTTTGAACAATACTACAGTATTCTACTTGGAGTTTGATCGTAAATTTCCACCAACCCAGCAAAATGTTTGCATTTTTTAAAACCGTGTACCTCACTTATGTTTGCAAAATAATTGTACCTCAAACCCAAATTTTTTTCTTCAGAAAAACATTTTCCCGCCGCTTCAAAAATAGACACCAGGTTGACATGGCGGTTAATTATACTTCCCCCCGGTCTTCATATAGATAAAGAGCCAGAAATTCGTTTCTTACTCGCACAAAGCAGTGCCATCTTTGAGCGGGGCGGCGAAGTCGAGTTGGTCTCGGATGGGTCTCACTGGCTCGCCGCCATTTTCCGCCGCCAGCTGGCGCCCTAGCACGGCCTCGACCCAGTCCAGGGCCTCGATGGCCCTGTCCAGCTGGAACTTGGCCTGCGCCTTCATCTGGCACTCACGGCTGAGTCCGTAGGATGGCCCGTGGTACGCCATTTCTTCCCCCCGGGGCAGGAAGACTGCTTTAATTATTTTTATTTTATTTTTTCAAATATTCAGGGACGCCACTTAACACTGCGTCAGCCTCGCCGACGTGCGCCCAATTGGCTCGTCACTCTCCGCGGCGACGCTCCTATAAGCAGGAATAAATCAACAAATTGAATGTGTGTACCAAGAAATAGATTTCAGTATAGTAGCGCTCCACAGTTTATATAGTGACACCCTTGCAAAAGTGCCACAAAGTTCCCTGGAAAAAATCTCCCTTAAAAAGAAAACCCTGATTCAGTGTCAATTCACTTGGTGCCACAGCAAATGCCTTGTCCTGGACCAAAACTATTAGTGAAAGCTTTCCTGGAAAAATTGGTGATTCCTGCATCATGAGATTGATGCAACAATAAGATATAGAACAGAAACTTGGACAAAACTTAAGGAAACAGGTTTGCTCATGACAGAATGTGTGTTGAACTTAATATCTTGATATATTTTTGTCTTTTTCAGAAATAAATGGGTGTTTCATTAAGATTGCAATTCGATCTTAATCAATTGCTGGACAAGGGTTGAATTGTGAAGCAGTCAAATTGCAAGACAACAACAAATGCAATGTTTTCTACATTGTATTGTACATGTTCCATCTCAATGTGGTTCAAATTAGATGGCAGAGGTCAAATTGCAAGTCAACCTACCAGCAAGCAAAGGTGACCTTCAGATTGCAGGACAGACAAATTGCAGGGTGGTCATATTGCAAAGTACCACCTGTGTTGACAGCAGAAAAACAGCTCATTTGAGCTTCAAATTATTTCCTTTGGCTTTCTCTCTTGTAAAAAATAGATTCAGTGGCCTATCAATTCTTTGAACAGACTTATTTTGCATACAGTAGAAACCCTCTATAGTGAACCTTCCTCTCATACAATAACCTTAATTTAGTGCTACTACAAATTTTTGCAAATGAATTTAGGTTTACTTGTACCTTTGAAGCAAATACTTTCTATGGCAAAAACCCACAAAAAAATGGCGCCAAGCAAAACATTATGGTACGTCTGACATAATGAGATTTTACGTATTGCTGATCTGTTGCTGGGAACTGAGACATAGATACATTGATAAAATTTTAATCCCTCATTATATCAACTAAAATCTTTCAGAAAATTATTTTTAGATGCATGCGCCAAACGGAAAAAAATTAATTTTCATTACTTTTTTGCTGTTTGGAGAAGCGCTACTTAATTTTACTCAACTTTTTTCAAATCCATTCGGTGAAAATGAGCAAAAAGTACGGAACAAAATTCGTAGGAATTTCCGGTTTCAGATCTTGGCGCCCTTGAACCAAGTCTCAACTCTCAATGTTTGCCTTTTCATGAAAAAAAAAAAAACTTGCAGCGGAAATTCCTGGCAGAAATAGCAGAACCGCATTTTAACCCGACCAAACCCACCGGATGTTATGCACAAAAAAAGAAGTTTGAATCGCTATTCTCCAATGTTGAGCAACAGGTGCCTTCCAATTTGGCAAACAATGCTGTATAAAGGTTTACGAACTGCTGAACTGCTGTCGAAAGCTTCAAACAATAATTCAAAGTTGAAAACTGATCAAATACAGTACATTGAATATACCTTTGAACACGCACAAAAAAAAAAACGCATTTCACCAGAAAGCAACCTATTTTTTTGCCCTCGAGTATGTTTTTCTTGGAACTCATAGCTAGAATGAGTTCAGATTTCCAGCGAATTTTTGAGTAAATCCATGTCACACCTCATTGGGAAAAAATGCAATTTATGCATCCCTAAAACAGAAGACGTTGGTTCTGACTTCATTTAGTTTAATTTTTGATTTGCTTTCCTGATATTGAACTGTTGGGTCTAAATTACAAAACACCTGAACCAAAGGTACAACCTATCATTTTAATGCTTTCAAAAATATGGGCTTTGCGGAAAAATCCAGCAAGTATGATATTTAATAAAGTAATAATTATCTCACTCAAAAATATTGCCAAAAATCACATTCAATAATTAATTTACACATTGCCGGACTCAAAAATCCCTATTTTCAATATTTAAAGTCACTAGAAACTTTATTTCAAGCATTACAACTGTACACAGAATGTAAATCATGGAAATATTTAGGCACTTGAAATGTTCATCTTTGGCTAGAGATGTACAGGTGTTACCTTGAAATTTGACCCTAATCCATTGCCAAACTGGGGTGAAATTGCAAAGCGGTCAAATCAAAGTGCAAGACACTTTGTGAAATTTAAAAAAATATATCAATGGAAAAATGCAAAAAATGGCCAAAGCAAGTTGAATTATTGTGGGGCAAGGATCAAATTGTGAGTCAACCTGACTTGGATTTGACTATCAATTTTTGGGATGGTTGAATTGCAAGGTACCACCTGTATAGTGATTCTATATGAATGAACAAATGAATGAACAGACATTTTATTTGCCGCTTTTCAGCATTCACAAGGTTCAATCAAGATTTCCACAACAATGATTCTATAGAGTAAAAATATTCTTTAAAGACCAATTGCTATGCATTTAAATTTTCTTTAATTTTCTGTTCCTTTTTTACACTTTTCAGCCATCGATTTACACTAGGTCGTGTTTTGTGACAAACCTTTGGTGACCACTTGTCATTGACACTTATAGACCATCTATTCCTTGTTTACGTTGTTGGGTATGTGTGAGTACTTTCTTTCTCTATTGCTCATTCAACCAGAACCGATAACAGTAAAGTTGCATCGGAATAAAGCAACAGAAGCACCTTCTCAAGCACTGATTGAAATAAAAGATAGTTTACTTCAATTAAATTCTTGAAATTCTACAAATTCACACCTGCTGATCCAAAAAAGTATATCATCTGATGATCAACCAAGTAAATTAGCATGACAAATAAAATTGCAGTGCCAATATACACAAAAAAGACCATGTTTCAAAAACGGTATAATAAAAATTGGCTAATATTAATCACTACCAAATTCAACAGCTTCCACTAGCTTCCAATACAGCTTCCAATCTCCAGCAGCAATTTCGAATAAATATAGCATAATCTCAATTATTAGGATAAAATCGAACAACTCAGATACACAACAAAACACGAAGTTATGTTTTCAATGATTCAAAAAGAAAGCATGCTCATAAAACTATTGCCAGTTATTCTGCATTACTTCACGGTGATGAAATTCCTCATAGAGAAAAACAATTCTCAAGGTTGGATTCAAATAAAATAAGCATTTAGGAAAAAATGCAGAATAAAACCCTCGTCCAATCATAATCAAATTGAGGAAACCGCACTCTCACAACCACGGACTGACCATAACATCAAATAACTTTGGTCAATATACACTAAGAAATATTTATTGTAGTGTATACACAGACATCAGGAGGTACTTCCAAGAAACAATTCAATCAGGGCATTAAATTGAATCAAACAGGGTAGGATCAATCACAAGAAGAGAAAAACAAATATACCATAACAATATAATTCATCAACTACAGGAACAAAAGTGAATCAATGAAGTGATTCAATTGAATTATGCAATAGTATCCACAGAATGCATAATAGAGCTTGCACAATCATTTAATATGACACCAAATGAACAAAAATCACATGAAATAAATGCTTCTAATGGATTTGTCAATACATATGCAGTATAATGATCACATGACAAACATGCATGAGAGAATTCCGCAAATTGAAATACTTCAGCTGTTACTGCATCATCTACAGTTGACCCCAACACAATGGATTTTGGCACACATCAGCCTTTGGACTCTGCTGGAGGCAGTTTTTCCTCCTGTGCAACAGACTAAATCTGCATAACATACTTCTGCTGGTTTAAAAGAAATGGTATAAAGTGAACATTTCAAACTTTCAAGAATTGAATTTGCATAACAGACTTTCCGCACCACAGACAAGTCTGTCACACAAATTAAGTGTTGTGCAGGGTTGACTGCATGTATATAAGACAATTCAAAGGAACCAGGAAAGTGTTTATTGTAAACAGAATTGTATTGTAGAGAACCTATGACATGGTGAGAGACCCCAATGCTGGTTCAACAATAAAAATTCGCTGTACAGAGAAAATCATTGTAGACAAGATGATTGTAGAGAGAGTCCACTGGTGTTGAAAGCTGTCAAATAGATAAGGTCATAAGGATTTAATGGAAAAATGCTCACATACTGTAACAAGTTATTTTACATCAATATACTGATGTTATCATCCTACCAAGAATAAGTTCACACTTGGAGCACTACAACTGCTCAGTATAGTTCTACTTCACAGCATCGTTCACAGTATAGTGATTCTATTCCATCACTTATAGACAACAAAAAAAGGATTTCCATCACTGATTCATGTAAAAAAAAAAGAAATGTATGATAATAATAATAAAAACACCACCACAGTGATTCTTTTGCTTTATACACGATATTCTTTCCCCTGGAATGACTCCGACACACCCGCGCCGAACCTGGTGGGGATGAACCACGGCCCGGCCAAGTTCTTGTAGGGGAATGACGAATAAAAACCGGCCCCCAAGAGAATTTCGGTGGATAAGGAATCACGGGGCGTCCTGACCGCAAAAACTATCCTGCCCACTTTATTTTTCCCTGGGATGGGAAATGACAGCAATTATGATTGGTTCAGGGATCAGAATTTGACCCCATGTGGGGCTCTTGGAATTTATAATTATTTATTCATCTTCTATTTTGGGTTCAATATGATGGAAACCCTGGGAGTGAATTTTGGCAATCGGTATAGGTCCTTTCCAGCAGAATTCGAACGTGCCAAAAAGAAATTAATCCGAAATCCATGCACGTTCTTCATGGCAAAAGCGCCAAAAAGTAAGAGGGTATTCAGCAAAAAAAAAAAATAGTAAACCTCTCATCATGATTGACTATACATATTTTTTTTAAATGAGCACCCATTTTTCCCATTTTAGTAAAAATTGGGAAGGCTTTCTTGACAGAGTATTCCGCATTTTATCATCATTTTGTAAAATATTTGGATAATTATTTTTCATTGATTAGCGCTTCCTGTTCAATGTCAGATCCTCCGAAATGCTTGAAACATCATGTTTTTTGAAATGCTGAGCTGCTGAATACTTTTCAATGATCAATCATCTATGAACATAATTTATTTCCAAGGGATCCCATGAAATTGGAG